ACTTCTCCAGGTGTTTCTTCAGGTTATATCAAATTTCCGTACAAGCAAACAAACAAACAAACAAACAAAAAACAGACAGACAGACATACAGACAGACAGACAGACGCGAGTGCTTCATATATAGTAATGATATATATGCTTTGTATATACATATAGAAAGGATAATTGTACCGCTGACCTTGTCTACAACTTCTCCAATTATAAGTTGAAACATTTCCCACAAAATGAGAGGAAAACCTGCTTTATTAGAAACGAAAACAGATACAAGGTAAAAGGAAAGAACGCCTAAAATAGGAATGAATTAAGACTAGCGTAATAAATTATGCATACACTACACCGAAATGCAAGAGACGTTTTATATTCCTAAGGAATAAGACTTCTACAGTCTTTTGAAAGAGGTGTTAGCTAAAAATGCGATTGTAGTAGCACATTTCACAGTAGTCTTTCACTTCATAAGTGTCACAATCGTGGTTGATCCATCTGATCAGCGGTCTTCCAACCGGTTCAAGTCCACCTTCTGCAGTGCTGCGAAACATCATTCGAGCTGCGAATCTCGCCTTAATTAAGAGTAGAATTTTGAGAATTCAGCAGAGTAGCGAAACCTTCGATCCAATCCATTACCTTTATTCTGTCGGTGCTTCTGGTAATAGGGAAAACTTTCGCAGTGACTTCCAAGTACTTCATTCCCAAATCATGGTAGGATATTCGCGCATGGTGCCAGCTGCAAGTTGATAGAGTTAGGGAGAGAATGCCTATGATTAAGAATATTACAGTTGTTCTAGCGAATTGCGTTTTTAGAAGCCGACCTCTTAATGACCTTCAACAGGAATATTTTATTCGAGACAGCTTTAAAATTGACTCAAATGTGCTGATTCTGCAGCGCAACAAATTTCATTTCGTTCTTCGACTTGGGTAGTATTGAAGTTGTAATTTGCTCACAGGTAGCTTAAGAGAGCTAAAATAACACCCTCATTTGCAGATTATCCTTCCATTCGCTGGACCACTTTTGTGGCTTTTATAGCCCAAGCGAAAACTTGATAAGTCTTCTTCAAATGAAGAAAATTGAATTCAGCAGTCATGGAAAATAAGTTTTTGTGTTATAATGCTCTCCAAGATATCCAGCTTAATTTTTTATCAAAGTCATTGGTATCACATATTCGTTTCCCTCCATGTGTCATCCTCATGGCAACCTTTGAATGGGTCCAGATCTCAGCGCATGTGTCTTTAATCAGAACGCTCTTCAAAAGTTACAGAGACATCGATTAAAACTGGACCCCTAGGACCCCTAGCACACCTAAACGATCTTCGCGTCATGGTGAAGCCTCATTTTCAGATCAACAAAAAGATCCCAGCGTTTTGACGTCTAGTGCGTACTGCGAAGGGAAGGATGGGAGGTGGGGAAGGAGTGGGGAGGGAAGTTGAGTGGCATAGTAGATATTCGTTGACAGAGAGCGATAGCAACTGTTGGCTGACAATAAATGGCGTTTCTGAGAAGTGCCTCCACCTTCGACTTTCATTCAAACCCGTAGTGGCGTTGCGAATG